GCGGCGGGCAGCAGCTGGAGGCCGGCATGCGCGGCATCCCCATCACCTGCAACATGAACGAGCGCAAGTGCGTGGGGGAGGCCTACAGCCTCCTCGGCGAGTACGGGGACCTGCTCTACGGGCCCGAGCAGGTGCGTGCGGGCGGGCCCGGCCGGTCGCTCTGTGCGGGGCGGGAGGCGGCCCTGAGGCCAGGGAGCGCGGCCCTGCGCGGTATCGGCCGCCCCCCTCAGCGCCTACCGCCGGCGGGGCGGGGAGAGCAGCGCCGGGAGGCCTCCTCTCCCTTTCTGTAGGTAAAAGAGCCTCGCTGTGGTCACCGCACACACGAAAATGCCGGGTTCTGTAAGCAGACCCCAGCGCAGCCCCGCGGGGTGGCCGGAGAAAAAAGGCCCTTGCCCGTCACCGCCAAGCCCCTGGGCATGGCAGTGCCTTGCTGCTGGTTTTTAAGTTGCGGGCGCTGTTGGTCGGTACTCGCCAAACAAGAGACGTGCCTTGTGTGAAGTTTTCAGATCACGAGGAGAGGCTGTCTGGAAGCGAGAGGGAGGAGGATGAGGACGATGTTGAGGCTGCCCTGAAGAAGGAGGTCGGCCAGATCCGCGCCTCGATGGAGCAGAAGCTGCGGCGGTTCCAGTCGGTGGAGAGTGGCGCCAACAACGTGGTCTTCATCAGAACCCGGGGCATAGGTGGGACATCAACTGATGCTGCGTAATGCTGTGGGGATAAACTGCTCTGAACGGTGTTAGTAACAGGCCACAGAGCATGACTTTCAAGAAGCTCGCGTACACCACACTAATACAGGGTTTCCCCTTCCCTTTGGCATTGCCACTAAATTTTGTCATTAGCGGAGTCGCTGAAGGTAGAGGAATCTGCTTTGACAAAGTAATCTTTCATTATCCAGATTCAGTATAGTAAAACAACTCTTTACAGAAAACGATTTGAGGCTGACAGCAGTGCAGCCAAGCGTGCATTTCCCCAGCTTATTATTTAGAGGGGGGAAGAAGGGAGAAAATGCCTTTAATTTGATTCTCATACCTAGCTGTTTTTCTTGTAGAACCTGAGAACCTGGTGCACCATATATTAAAGGATATGCATGCCACTAAAAAGAAGAAGACGAGAGTCATTCTGCGTATGCTGCCCATTTCTGGAACTTGCAAGGCTTTTATAGAGGATATGAAAAAATACACGGAAACGTTTTTTGAGCCTTGGTTTAAAGCCCCTAATAAGGGTACTTTTCAGATTGTTTACAAAGCTCGTAATAACAGTCATATGAGTAGGGAAGAAGTAATTAAGGAATTGGCAGGTATGTATGTTCACACAGAACTAAGAACAAGTATATAAGCAGCCCACAACTGCATGCATAACACAGGTCATATGATTAAAAGTGGTTTTAATGGGCATACATATTTGTTACTTAAAATCTGTATGTTGAATTACAAAAGTTTGTCTGATAAAAAAGCTTGACAATATTCCTTGTTGACGTCTTAAGAGACAACAAGCTGATGAGAGTACAGCGTTGAATATAATTTGGAGTGTCAGTCACATGTGCTTTGAAATGACTGCTATCAGGCTTTCCCTCTGGATGCTATATTGAAATAATGTGTTACTCTTTCTGTTGAATATATGACTCAGAAAATAGCTCCACCTTACTCGAATATTTTGTTTCTTTGTGGGATAGTTTTTCAATTACTTCAGTCATACTGGTGGTATATCCTAAGGGTCCCGCTGTGTTCTGCTACTTTAAGCGATTACAAAAACAAGTAATTGGTTACAACTAAGGGGGATGTTGCCGTCTCTCAATAGGGTATGCTTATGCTCTGAAACAGTTTTTCCAGCATCTTTTAAACTACATCTTGTTTTACAGGAATTGTGGGCAGCCTCAATCCAGAAAACAAAGTCGATCTTAATAACCCACAATATACAATTGTGGTGGAAATAATAAAAAACGTCTGTTGCTTGAGTGTGGTGAGAGACTATGTTCTGTTCAGAAAATACAATCTACAGGAGGTGGTGAAGAGCAACAAAGAAGACACACAACAAAACCCATCAAGTGTGACAGAAGACCAGAACTCAAAGGTAGTAAAACCAGAAACCGAGGAGGAGAAGAGCTCAAAAGAAGTAAAACAAGAGAACAAGAATCAAGGTGAAACAGAAGCTGAGCCCAAGGGGAATGATGCGCTGACAGTGTAGAAAATGTGGTAGAAGGGAAAGATAAATACAATAGAAACGTATTAAAAAAAGTTGCCCTACGAGTTCTGACAGGGCATTTTAAAGAGGAGAGTGGGTTTTGTTTTGAAATCTCGTTTTTAAAATCCACATGTGTAAGAATTTTAATGCTCCATGCAGGTGGAGCTGACATTACAGCAGATGTAAGAGTGCTCAAGAGTGCCTCACCTTTCTGGTGAAGCTTGCTGTCATTCTTCTACGGCTTTGTTCTGCATTGCCTTTACCTAGCACAAAAAGCACGTGTGTGCATGCATATGTAAATGTGGCCATCCTGATATATATTGACTCTCCTTTGTTATATCTGATGGCTACGGAAATCAAAAGGCAGTGCAGAATCAGCTCTTGTCAGGAAGTATTGACATAAGTGAGAGATGTGAAAAAGACAGTTGCTTGCAGAGGGTTTTTAAGGAAGCGATCTGACAACTTGTGTGACTGCAGAACTCAGATACATTTTTCTGTGTGAACAACGGAATGAGCTAAAACTGATCATGTCCTGTATGACGGAGGGTTTTATATATGTCTATATACATGCATCGCTCTACAAGGATATGCTAAGTTTTGAAAGTGAATGGGAAGAACTGCTACGATCAAAATACTTGAATACTATGAGATGATTTAGAGTAATAGATTTGACAGTTCTACAACAGCAGAAGTACAGTGCAGGCATTGCAGACGGTTTTAGCAAAAACTACATGTGTGTTTACATTAGCTGTGTATACAGCAGTTATTGGTTTATAGGAAATGCTGTAGTCACTGAACAGAATCCTTTTGAGTAATTTCCTGCAAATAGCCTTTTGCTGCTCTTTCCAAATCCTTGGGGGGGGGGGGTTATAAAGTCTTTTTTTGTTTTTATTTTTTTCTTAGGTCTCAAAATTTGAATTTAAATACTGCTTGGAAAGTTCTTATGAAAGAAGCTCTCCATTATACCGTACTGGATAAGGGGAATTAAGTTTAATTTTGGTACAGTTTTAGCTTTACAGTATTAATTTTGTTTCAGATTGAAAGTAATGTTAGTGAGTCTTTCTGTTGTCCATTTGTCACAGCAACTTTTTTGATATCCCAGTGACTTTTAAAAAACAACCAAAACCAGTGCAGCTATAACCTGCTTTCCAGTAGGGTTTTGAGTATGCTTCCTGTACAACTGTCTAGCTTTAGTATTTCATTTCTAGCGTAAAAGTCTGTGGGTTGCTAATGGGAAAAGACTCATCTTGAAGAACACCACTTGTTATTGTCTTGCTTTAGTGAAAAGGATGTGTTCAAGTCTCTCAACAGAGTTTAATTTATATTTTCTTCTTCTCTCAAAATTGTTTTAGAAGTTGGAAAATTAAAATGACTTTTTTCCCTAGTCCTGTCTCCCTTACCACCCATTTATTAAAACTCAGCTTTCTTACCTCCATCGGCGTTTTCTTTAAATTTTAAAGCTTTTTGTGTGTGGATTAAAACCAGCAATGTCACACATAGGAAAGAACCATTTGAGACCAGACACAAAGGCCAACTGTCAATGTTTATTGGTGGCTGATGTTCGAGATCATGATTCAGTACAGCCTATTTACATTCCTAAGGACAAAGATAGACTCTTGGATAGTTTGTGGGTTTGGTGGGTTTTTTTTCTCCTTCTCTCTCTCACTCATCTGTGTGTCTACAGGACCTACAGGTCTTCAGAAGAAACTGCTGAATAGCTACCATCCATTTGTCAAGCCTATGTCTGACATTTAGATGCTGCCTATGCTGCAGTCTTAAAGATGTCTGCATTCTTTTACTTCTGATTTTTCATAATTTGCACTTACTGAACTTTCATTGTTAACACGTAATTCCTTAATCTTGAGGCTTTCAGGATTCATATAAGCAGGGTGCTTAATTTGGATGCATGCAAGATCTGTGGCCATTTCTGGGAACTTCATTACATACTATCACAATTTCCTCATTAATAAGCCTCCTGTGAGTTTAAATATCTGGTCTCAAAGAATGAACACACTGCTCCTTCACCTGGTAATCGCTTACTTCTGCTTGTACTGTAATTCTGAAAAGCGTTAGGTGGCTGGAAGATATGTTTGCATATGCCTTGCTAAGTAGGCTTGATTTTTGTTAAGCAAGAACACAAACATTTAAAAACCATACAGTTGGGAGTTTTTAAACCTTGTGCATTATTACACAATCACTGCCTAACGGGTGAAATATAGTCCTATGTTGGTGCTTACAGTTGTAATAGAAAAGCTCGATTATGAATGAAATTGATAGGGATAGGCTCTTTTAGGTTGCTTATCAAAACTAAATCTGTGCCCACTCCTTGTTCCTCAGTTCATTCCGTCTGATTTTCCCAGTGATTGTCTTTGGCAGCTGCTGGACAAATTCAATCTGATTCAAAAGAGGAAAAAAGTAAAATGAGCAGATTTCATTTAGAATTTTTTTCAGAACAGCATAGATATCCCATCCTACTTAATTTAAATAAGAATTTTGTGACTGGGGAAATAACTCCGATTTGGTTTTAGATTGTGTTGTACCTATTATTTTCCAAAATCTTCTTTAAAATAATATTTGTCATTTTTCTTGCACAGTACATATTTGTTTTTTTTTTCTTTGTTACTGAGTTTGAACTGAGTCTACTCTCTCTGTTTCTAGCCTCTCCACGGTTAAAATAGGTGTTTGGGATTTTTTTATTTTTTTTTTAATACACTCATGTTTACTTGCCTTTCTGGGGTACTTGTATGGAGCAGTGACTTTCTTGACATGATCTTGCAATTCACAGGCCAGTTTCTTTGGATCTTGTGACTTAAAGGAAGGAGACAAGACCACAAAAGCTTTTACCACCTACAAAGGGAACATAAATAAAAAATGCAGCATTAATTAATCTACAGCAACCTAACAAATGAGGCAATTAATTGAGAGTACGTATTGCCTGCAGTACAGGCTTGCTGTATCACACCTGCACTGTAGAGCAAAATTTGCTTTTGTGTAAGCAAATTTAAAATTAGGATGAAAGACTGTTTCTATCTTACATTAGTAAAGGTCCTAAGTAATACATGATAAACGTTTCAAACTCTGCTTCCAAATTTGTAAGAGTTCTGTAAAGGACTGTTCTAAAGTTCTTAGATGCTGGGGCCTTTTCTGTAAGCATATGTTGTTAAAGTAAAGAATATAATTCTCCAGGCAGTGGGTCAAAGTGTACATCAGTTCTTAACAGAATCACCTTTATATTCAGTGTCTGTGTTCTTCAGGAAACTAAGGATTATATTTTCATTAAAAAAAAAATAAATGGCATACAGGATATACAAACTACTGCTCTCCTTGCTTATGGGTAAAGAGATGGAAAAGTCTGTATCACTATATTAAGTCTTATGAATTCAGTGGCAGTTGAGTGTAAGCTCTGTCACACAAGGCACTTTATGAATAGGAGAGTGACCACCAGTTACCTCTCCTCTGATGGGATCTGGGCTGCTGACAACAGCCGACTCAATGACAGCTGGGTGCTGTATCAGGGCACTCTCTATTTCAAATGGTCCGATACGATACCTAGGAGAGAGAAATTAAATGCTTAGTAGGGGAAAGGTATATGGTTATTTTTTAGACATTTCTTGGCATTTTAACCAAAATCTACAAACCCAGAGGAGATGATGACGTCATCAGATCTCCCCATAAACCATATATATCCATCCTCATCCACGCTCCCTCTGTCTCCAGTGATATAGAAGTTCCCACGGATTGTGGCGGCAGTTTTCACTGGATCATCCTGTTGAACAAACAACAATTAAATATTCTAAATATTGAGAAGCCTTAAGCCAAGAGATGAGTTTTGCCTCTTTGGACACCACCCATCATATCTTTCACTGCTTGTTTTGCTTCAAGAATATAAGAGCTTGTGCTTGCTTTTTCCAGAGGGGAAAACTGATCACAAGGGCAGGTATAGAACTGAAGATCACACAGTAGGTCTGCAGAAGAATGGTGGAAAAATTCGTAAGTCAGAACACTGTCAAGTCAAGCCAAGAAGAGCCACAGGTCTTTGGTGTTGCACCTGCTCCTGGTGGTACAAATACGTATCGTGCTGCAGGCCTGAACTGGCTCTCCAGAAATTCACTTTTGGCTTACCAGGTATCGAGTGAAAAAAGTAAACGGCCGCTTGGCATCCATTTTGATAGCAATATCTCCTTCTTTCCCAGGAGGCAGAACACTGCCATTTTCATCTATAATCTGCAGTAGGAAAGGCAAATGAGTGATTTTAACTTCCCATTTTAAGAGAGCCATGTTCTAAAACTAACCAGCAGCCAACAGCTCAACCAAAAAAGTCAGCCACCCTACCACTGTATGGTACCAAAACTTGTATGCGGTACTCTCTCGTGTTTTACTTTGTGGTACTCTCTCGTGTTTTACTTCTTATGAAATCAACAGCTAACAGAAAAGGGGACCACCATACCTGAACATCGCAGGGGGGAGCTGCCTTTCCAAAGGAACCTGGCTTAATTTTCATTCCTTTCATATTTGCACATATCATTCCCTGTTGGAAAAGACAACCAACCAGCCCAGGTATTTTTCACTGTCATTCCTGAGGCTATTCCTGGTTTGTATTATGCCCACCATTTTGCTAGGATAAGATCTAAATCTTATATTTGTGCGAGCCAAAACATTTGTGAACTTCACCAAGAGTCTTGGACAAAAAATTAAAGATATTTTACAGCTTAAGTAGTCTTAGAAGCAGTATCATAACCCAACAGCAATTCTAAGCAAAACAATAAACCCTGTTGTAGGCAATTGCTCTGTATTCTACTGCCATCTTTCTTTTTAGTCAAATATATATGGCCAAGCTCCATATGTACCAAGAGGAATGAGATATTTAAGTCCCCCAAGTAATAGCTGAGTTGTAACCCTTTACAAAAAAGCTGAACATACAATTTCAGTTTGGCCGTAGCCTTCATAGATAGTCAGTCCTGTTTGGCTTTTCCACTGTGCCATCACTTCTGGGTTGAGTGGTTCCCCTCCAGTCAAACAGTGCTTCAGTGTCTTGAATGCATACCTTCATGGACAAAGGACATTGTTGAGCGCCAGAGAATAGAAAGGGACAAATTCTGCTCTCCCTGACATCCGTATGTCCAACCCCATGACTTCAGGACACACCGGACTCTCTTAAGAGTTAGGATTGAGGGAAAGCCTAGAGCTTCAGTTGGAGTAGGGCTGGAAAGGGGCTGCCAAAGCCGAGAGCTGCAACGATGCACAGGACTGATGGCAGTGCAGCCATGCGTGTGCCTTCAAGGGCTGAATACTGGCCTCTGTATTTACTGTCTGTAACGCCTCAGGGCAAAATTTGCCCTGGGTTGGAGGTGCCTGAGGGGTGGACTTTGCCACTTGTCTCTGCAGTGCTAAGGAAAGGGGTCCGCCTCCTCACAGCCCCTGCCTCCAACACAGCATTTCCACCACTCTGAGAGTTTAAGTGGCTGTAAGAGCCTGTAGGAATAATTGTTAAAGAGCTGGGCAATAGCTTGAACAAACGTAGTGTAGTCGCTTGTAACAGACACATGGTACCTGGTGAGGTCATGCTGTACCAACATGCGGTAGGCAGTTGGGGCGCTGCACAGAGTGGTCACTGGATATCTGCACAAGGTCTGACATATTAAAAAAAAAAGAGGGTTAAACAATATTGTTTTGGGAAAAAACTTGCTGCTAACTATTCCTTTCTATTCCGTACTAGAGCACAACTTACAAGACCTGATTGTAACCTCACTTACATGGAAAGCAAAGTAATTGCCATCACTGTCAGTGTTCAGGAAAGATGTTACAACATCAGCTGAAGAGGTGATGCATTGACTGTGGTAAATGGTGTACCTAATTTGTCCTGATGCTCACTTGAAGCACAAGGACCATCCCTTGGTATGAAACCCTGGTCCTGGAGGTGCAACGAAGTTTTGCAGGAGATTTCAGTAAAGCCTGCATCTCACCCTAGGACAAAGACAGGCATCTCAAAATGGAGGCACCTAAAACTAGAGGTTGCATTTGAACGTGTTGCCTATGTCAGTCTTTTATCTGGCCCCACGCTTTCTGAAATGGACTGTCACAAAGCTTTAGACATGCTGCAATTCCCTCAGCTGTCCTGACAAAAGGCCTGACATGGACAGAGCCAAGTCTCCATGAGTTCTGGCTGAGTTGAGAGTAATACTGTATTAAAAGGTTGTTTTGGACTGCCAAATTTATATATCCTCCTTTAGCTGGGACAGAACACAGGACATGAGTGCCTTGCTAGAAAAATAAAGATCTCAGCTGAGCCTCTGTTTTCTGACACATCTTTATTTCTCACCCATAACACCAGTGGATGATTCACAGTCCCTCAGGTAGAGCTAAGCCTTACTTTTTTTTTTTTTAAACACACTTCTGCCTGCAATAAAAATTTGCTCAGAGAGGGGGACAGGCAGCGATAAATAAAAGCCAGGGGAAGACCTCTCATTCACCAGCCTTCACTTCAACCACACCATGGGTAAAGCAGCCTCTCCTATCAAACTTCATTTTGCGCAGCGATGTGAAACCCCATGCATGTTGCAAGCGGGTGTTTGCAAGGCCAAGAAATTTATACGAAAAAGAAAACCAAACTAGCAGCTACCATTTTAGAAAGGAAATGAAATGGGATTAAAATCCCCAAATAACCCCCCGTGTTAGGAATGTACACTTTTCCATGTAGGTGCTTTGAGCCATTGGGAACAGCACTCATCCCTTTGTGTTGGATTAAAACTCAGATTGGCTTGAAAAGCTTGAAAATAATTTAAGACCAAGCCAATCTCACGGCTTCAGTGTTTTTCAGTACTGACTTGCCTTTCTTCAGGGTCACAGCAGCGTAATTAAAATATTAATTTACATGTAATTCAGCTCATTTATCATTTCAGTAGTGAAATACAGTAGGGAAGAGGTTTAAGTAATACCAGTAACTCCTACTGATCGGAACCAGCTGGTAATATCCTGTGCCCAAAAGAGTTATGCTGCAAAATCCTTCCTGTATTATATTCCTATTCAAAGAACAATCACCTTGTGGTTATGCCATCTTAAAACAGCTAATCCTATAAACCTAAGAGGCTTAGTTTTGTGGCCTGCCTGGAAAACAACATGAAATATGAGTAACTGTTCATTGTGAGCATGGTGTTCTTACATTTAAGATTGCTCTTGGATCAAACTGTGGCATGGCATGTACAAAAACACACGTGCCCTGGAACCACGGACCAAAAACGCTCCCAATAGCTGCCTTTACCCAACCAGTGTCTGACATGTTCCACATGATGTCTGAAGGAGTCAAATTCATCCAGTATCTGTTGAAGACAAAGGTGGCCAATATAAGGGAGTCTGCAAGTGGAAATTAAAAAATGTGAGGTTTTGTGTTTTGTTTTTTTTTTTTTTTCTTCCTTACAAAGGCATGGTAAATTTGATCTGCAACTCAAGAGCTCAAAGAAATGCCTTTTGTCTAGCCTTTATACTGATGGCAAAGATAAAGAAAATCAAACAGTATCCTATCTCATTTAAATATGTTATATAGCCTGGATTAACAGGCAAGTAGTTTCTAAAATGGAGCCATATACCATATCAAACAAGATCGTTGCTTCCTCGGTACAATTCAGCTCAGGAGACCAAAAGAAATGACATGTACAGTATTGTGGCAGCCTCATAATCTATCATAATTTTATCGCATACAAAACCTCTTCTATTTGCTTCACATTTCAGAGCTGTAAAGGCATAATTAGCTGAATACTTTACCTTCCACAGAGAAAAAACCCCAGACCAAAGCTTCCATGGGAATGTTCAACCATTTTGGGGGAGCCTGTGGCACCACTGGTAAAATAGATTGCCATTGGATCCTGGCTTTTTGTCTTCACGCAGTTATGGACAGCAGGGGCAGCCCTTAATAAAAATGAAAGGCTATATGAAACAGTGGCTGGTGTTATTCAGCACACTTAGCTTGGATCCTTTGTGCCCAGTACATGCAGGATTGTTTGTACCGTGAGATGTAAGGGCTAAGAAACTACTGAGATCCCCTCACTCTTGCACTACTAGTTCTGTATTAAAGTATTGCTGATCTTGCTCTCTAACTATTCTTTATGTCCACCTTCTCCAGAGTAAAAATGCCAACTGGCTGTCTTTCATTTGCCTCCCTTAACAACCACCAAAAGACCCAGCATCTTGTGTTTGACCAAAGTGCCCTCCAGAAAGCGTATCTTCTAGCCTTAGTGCAATTAGCTGAGGGAGGACCCACCATTTCTTTTGGCAGGTGGTCCCACTGTTAATTATCCTTGCCATGTTTGGGAAGCATGGGGGGGCTCAAACTCCTGGTTGTCTGGCACATGGGAAGAAAACATTTCTCATCTCATACTAAGATGAGAAAGCAAAATCGCTTCTTTTTCTCTGCCAGGACTGATGTTCAAAAAGATTTTGCTTGGCACACAAACATTGCCCATGCCTGCAAGGCTGGGCATGGGAAGTCTGTCTCCCCCGGCCAGCCGTCTCCCTGTGCTGGCGGGCAGGCAGACAGGCTGCCCGGGAGCCCCCACTCTGGAGCCCCGCAGCCTCCTGGCCAGTTTAGCAGCCAGCTAAGGCAGCTGAGGACATGGGGAGCTGGGAAGTCTGGGCAATTAGCCCACTACGCAGGGAGGCTGCCAGTGATCTGGCTAGACAACAAGCCAGGCAGGACAGCAGCCCAGCACTCTGGGAAGACTAGGAGCCCGACAGCTGAGCAACCCTGGAACCAGACAGCCAGCACTTTGCAAGGCAGCCATCCGAGGAAACCAGACAGCCTACCTGCCTGACCGCCAGTGACAGCCTCTGCAGGACTGACGCAGTTCCAGACAACATTTAGGTTTTATCAAATCAATTTTACCCTCTGCCATGGAACTGAGCCATGGAATATTAGCCCAGCAGCAAAGAGGATTCATCAAATCGACTTGACAATGTTTTAGTAGCTCCAGGAGGTTTGAGAATGCAATGTTACTGCTTCCTCCGTCTCCTGGTTCAGTGACACTGAACTGAGCAGTTGTTCAAAGGAGCAGATGGAAATACAGTGACACTGTACAGCGAGCTGCCCAGGTAATGCTAGTTCAGACACCTGTGGTTGTGAGGACACATGGTACATCTTACAAAGCTCTTAAAGTGACTGAAGAGCTTGGACCCCACCTTGAAAGAATGGTTTTAGCTACACAGATGCTTTTAACAAAATATCAGGGGGTAAAATCACACCTTGAGCAGATTGCAGCAGGGTATTTGCTTGTGTTCCCCATTCTGCTTCTCCACCCCTTCTACAGTCCCACACACTGCAGTGAAGAGCTGCCTGTTGGGTGCCATTTTAGTAGCTGCTTTTCAGTAGTGAGGCAGGTGGATTCCTAAATACGAGGTCCATTCTACATTGTGCTTTTTTTAGCCTTTCATAGTGAAAAGCTATTCACATTAGTCTTATTATCATCAAGTTTTAGGAATATGGATTGGAATAATTTGTATAGAATATTTTTCTTTGAGCTTTAGAGGGTAAATAGGCCACAGCTGCCAATAAAAGAGGCTTTCCTATCAATTTTTCCATATTATTTCATAGTCACATGTAACAAACCTAGACATCATAATACTGTACTTATTTGTTAATTAACAATTTGGCTATTCCCAAATATTCCCTTTCTTCATAGAAATGAGACTAAATTGCCTTCTCTCCCACCCCCTCAAAGGTATCTAGTTCATTAATGAGACACAAGTGCGTTTAAACAGCATGAGAAATCTTCCACCAGAGATAACTATGATGGAGCTAAGGTAGAAGTCACTTACTTGAGCAAATCACTGAAGTTCAGCCACTTGGCCCTGCTGCTTTCAGATACAATTAGCTTCATTTTCAGAAACTGGCACTTGGATGCAACTGAGTCCACTGCAGGAGCAAGCGCATCAGTTGTAATAATGCACTTAGCCTTGGAAGCCAGCAATCTATAGCAAATGTCTTGTGCTGTCAGTTGTGTTGTCCCTGGGATGATGATAACACCTGAAAGTGCAATAAAATGGGAAATTTACTAGGTATTTTTCACTTTCAGTCCTGATCACTTCATAGCTTCTCCTGATTCGTTGAATAACAGCACCATTCAATCCAGAAATGAGAAGAAGGTAAAACAAGTCCCACACACCTGAACTTGAATACAGGTGTGCCGATCTGAAGTACAAAATAGCTTCTGTTTCTACAAGATCCTTTGCTCCAGGCACAATGTAAGTAGAAAGTATAACTTTGGGGCAGTAAACACTAGCAGCTTTAACTTAAGTCTGTTGAAATTAAATCAAATCGATTTAGCACAACCAAATTGATTTAACACAATTAACACAAGCCACAGAAAGTTAAAGAAAAATGATGAAGGTAATTCCATCAGTCATAAGAGACTACCCCTGTCAGCCCCTTTGATTGTCAAATGTTCAAGCTACAAAGTCAAATAAGAAATGTAATTGCTAAATGAACTGTTAACCAACTTTTGGCATAGACAGTTACAAACAATCTGTAGACCATTAGGAATGATACAATTCACCTGTTCGCATACAAGCCACATTCAGCAGCCACCACTCTGGGATTCGGGGTAGAATCACTAGAACTCTGTCTCCTCTTTGCAGACTGCACGGCCCAGAGAGCACGTTGGCCACTTTTTGGGACAGGAGGCCCAGCTCTTCAAAGCTCCATTTAATTTCATCTCCTTTTCCATTTATCCACCACAGAGCTGGATTTGATGGTCCCTTTCGTTCCTATACACAACACAAGGGTAAATAGCATGCTGATTACTTCTGAGATTCCTGCAGTTCCTTGCGGAGTTTTTGGGACGCTCCAGGCAGTGGAATCGGATAGTGTTACATATTCTAGGGCAGGGATATTAAGCACGTAGCATGTTTTGTTTAAAAAAGCCCCTTTCCAAGGCACATATAACTTGGTGTGTATATCTACCCCATTTGCAATGCTCATAAATCACTCACATGGTTTTATGAACCCAGCACTGCACACACTGCTGAATCAGAGTCACAGAAACAAAGCACCATGTTCCCTCTGATGCTAAAGCAAATTGCCCCTCCTTTCTCTGCAATGTAAGATTATGTTAAAATAGAAATAGGGGAGGAAATTCTAGTCCCACTGAAGCCAGTGATGGTTTTAGACTTGACTTTGGGGATAGGGGCACAGTTTCACTAAAAATACTGAATCTATAGGGTCAGAAATGCTACCTTTTCTATTTGAGACCACTTGTCCAGCACATCACTTGCAAAATTGAAGTACTCGGGCACTTCCTGTTCACAACGACTGATAGCTTCATAATATGAGAAATTCAAAGGTGCAAAAGTCTTGTGATGCTGGTGGAATAATCTACGGAGTGTCTGGATGCTCCATGGGGACCGCAACACTTGAAATTCAAGTAAAATCTTCATGGCACAAAAGCAAGTATATGGGAGCTTTTAGAGACGATAACCATCAGAACTATTTTTTAATGATTATTTCCCTCCTACAAGAGACAGAAAAATCAATAACAGTATTATGATGTGCAAATTCCCAGATGAGCTGTTGGCTCCAAATGGAACAGATGTATACAGAGCAGCAAGTCCATCTCTATATGACATTTTATCCCACCTCTCCTTATGGGTAAGCTAGAGCTCTGGTCACCCTTTTAAGTCTCCTGCTTTTTCATCTGTCCACAGGTTTCTCAGAGAATTCCCCTTGGAGCTGAAAATTCCTATTCTGTCCAGCCAAAGTAGGGGCTTGAAACTGTGAACAACTAGGTGTTTCGAAAAAAAACCAAACCCATCCAACCAAAAAACCTAAGAACTTGTCAGGACTGGTACCCACTATTCCCATGTTTTAAGCACCACAGCAGTCTCACCCTGCCCTACAAGGCTACTAATGGCAAACACAGGTTTGGTTGCAGGATGGATGCCATCTTCTGTTCCTGGTTTTTGCCTCAGAATCCAGGATATAACCAATAGCCAATACAGAAGAGATGGGATAAACATCCTTACTGTTGCTTTTGTTGCTAAAGCAATAAACATTAACCAGAAGTATGTTCCACGTTGCACCATTTGCTCTGCCTTCCTTTTGTCCAAAGAAAAGATTGTGCCCCCTCCTCCCCCAGGCATTTGCCTTGTATTAGTTGGATAGCAAACTATCATGAATAACTCAGAGGTGGTTTTCCACATTCTGTTATTGATTTGTTTACCGGACTAATGCTTTTGCCATGTCTGCATTTGTCCTTGAATATACAGAGTTGCATTTGGCTTCACAAAATACTATCTGGAGTTGTGTATTACCCTGAAAACACTTGGCAAAAGAGTGAATTAGAGCTGTATGTATGGGAACACGGTGCTCAGGATACATTCAGCTTCAGAGACTAAAAGATACAGATGGAGGCTTTTTCTTTTTTCACAGTCTGCTTATAACATATTGCTTCTTATCTCTATCCTGAGCAAGTCATTTAAAAAGGCCTGATTCCAGAACTCACAGTTAATCAGTGAAATCTTTGTAGAATTGGCTGCTGCTTTATTTTTCCCTCAGATCTGAGCCAGTGATTGCAAGCAGACGCAGACCTAGAAGATGTTCTTGCAGAAAGAAACTACTTCAGTCTGCTTGATACAAAACAGAGAAGTATAACTGCTTTCTGGTAGTCCACCCTCCTTCATAAAAGTGACAATCATGTGAAGAAAGAGGAATAAAACACAGCATTATAGATTTTTTTTTACATTAACAGATGGCATCTTTCGTTTTTGAGAAGACTAAGTATTTGAACTACTAAATAAAAACTAATTTCTCAGGGTGTTTAAGTAATTTGTGCTTACCTGGAGATGTTATTTGTGATCAGGTGAGACTTCTTTCAACTCCCTCTCATGTATCTTGCCTAGAACTTAATTGGCAAGGCTTGCCTCCTCCTGGCTCACTCTAGTTCTCCGAGTGGTTGTGGCCCTTCATTAGTATCGCACATCGCGTTCCGTGGTGGGGATTATTTGCCCCCAAGAACACAGATGTCAATTCTCCAGTTACCTTCCGAAGAAAGGCACAATCACTGAAAAAGTTAAGAGAAGATGGAAGAGCACTGAATATGAATGACTGCATTTCTGGTTCACTGCCTTTGGAGAATGGATAATCCACCATACATTAATATGTAACTCTATTCTATGGCATGAATGAATTTGGAAATGGCAACAGTGGGGCTTTATTTTCAGATTCTGGAGTTAAACACAGTATGAGAATTGGTATGATAAAGGTATGAAGATTTTCATAAGCCTGGTGCCAGTAAACATCACCTCTAATATCTGATGGACACTTCTGTGGAGAAAATAATGCAGTTCAGACATGGGCCACCAGCTCTGAGGAGGACAATGAAAACTCAGACTACTGAGTCATTGCTATGAAACAGGGTGACAAAGGGATGAGGCACAAAATCCATGCTCTGGAAGGCAGCAGCATGATACAGGATCTCCAGCTATTCAATTATGAGACACTTGGTTTAGATGAATCTACTACAGTCACAGTACAGTCTGCTAGTATTGCTACCGCAGGCAATAAGCCCTGCAAGGGGAAAATATTTTTAAACTGAGACCTAGATAAATAAAGGCTATACATAAGCATACACATAGACTATATAATATATATAGACTGTATGTAAATATAGGTATTTAAAAGATGTGTAGATGTGGCACTTAGGGACATGGTTTAGTGGTGGACTTGGCAGTGTTAGGCTTATGGTTGGACTCAGTGATCTTAAAGGTCTTTTCCAACCTAAATGATTCTATGATTCTATATAGAGGCAATAAAAGGTATAATTAAGGATCAGAGTCAGAAGACAGTCAGAGATGTTGCTAGAAACAACAAGCACAGATAGCAGCTATGGAAGTAATGTATGGAGAAGCAGAATCAGGCTGTTAGAGCCCACGTGTGGAATCTCTGCAGGCATCAATGCATGGCCAGTCTTCCAGGAAAACCACTGAATTGCTATGTGTTAGGGGTATCTGAAAGCTTTCAAGTCACTTTTTGCAAACTGAATGTAAGCTCTGAAATTACTCAAAAGTAAACTATCCAATTTGGCATCAGTGTCTTTGCACAAGTCATGTACCACCTCTCTCTCCCTGTCTTCTGTGTCTCATCGTGGACTCAGAGCCAGCTTCCCCGACCTACTGCTGTAGAGTTCACTGTTAGGAGATGACCCTCCCCAGTTTGGTAAATCACATATGATATTCTGAAAAAGCTAAAGTAATTATAGGCTACTTGTCTCTCATTGTAACACTTTTTAAAAAGGGCATACAGCAGACTACCTGAAGTGACACTGTTTACTGATGTTAAGGTGATCTGAAAAGAGAATAACCCCATTTTTCTGATCTGACTGCTATTTAACTGGTTCTGCTTCTTCTCTTACCATTTTTCAATCAAGACTGGGAGCAAGGGTAACTATGTTTTAAGGTGTCCAGAAGCCTAGGTACTCAGTCAGAGAAATTAAAATGGACAGGGCAATGACAACCACATGAAATTCCCAGTGAAACCTGGAGAAAACCACAGTGCAGTGCTCAGTTCTTTGAATTTACACTTCAGGAGCACATACAGTGAGATTCAGAGCAAGAATGTTTGGGTCAGGGTTTGAGGAACTTCATGCCTCTGTAACAGGGCACAATGTCTTCCATCTGCTCTCCTCATGTTGCAAATAACTTCTCCCATTCCTCACTTTACTGCGGCTGCTAAGTGGCTTTCGAGCTGTGTGATACACACACACACAAAGAGCCATTCTGAACACACAGTGTTTCTAGCGTATGTACACAAGAGGGCATTAAGCCCGTCTTCAACCCAGTGTGTAGAGACTGAAATCGATGAGTGAGTTTGCTCACAAGTTTGCAAGGCAGCCAGATTTGGCCCTTTTCCCAGGGTAAATTCCTAAGAGCGCTCAGGGGTTTACAGCAACAACTCTAGTGACATCCCCCTGGCTGCCTGCGCCATGTAAATACATTTTGAGACACCTAATACAGCTGCTACTGTTTGGAGATGTCATTAACCATTATTGCGTGCAATAATGATAGGCAATACACACACAGATGGGTCAGCCTAATTTGTCTTCAAAGTCCTAGAACAAACAAATAAGAAGTATGACAACCCCCAAACAGTGAGTGTACTATAGCAGCCTTCCACCAGCACATGTGGAAGAAAGTTGACCAGTGATTTTCATGGTAGTAGCAATGAAATCCAGAGAAGTTTCTCATTTGCTCACCAAAATGTAACTACCTGCTCCCAGAAAGTAGAATTCAGAGCAGCTGGTGGTGCGAATGTAGTGGGGAACCACCCAAGGCAGATGATGCAGTTCATCTCTGGCATGTCTGTTGCTTACTTCAAGTACACCACTTTGGACAGGAGGCAGCCTAAAGACTTCCTCTGTGGAATGAATCTCCAAAGGACTGGTTAATAAAAAAACCAAAACCACCTCCTTTCAGTCACTTTTGTAATTTCCTTTAAAAATGTAATGCTCTCAGCATGCAAATACGCCAGAGAGTGGGGTTTATTTTTCGTTTGAGGTCTAATTCTGCTCCTAAAGAAATAAATTTTCAACTATCCCTTGGTTTCAGTAGTGCAAGCTCAGATCCATTTAGATTGATGTAATCTACACGGATGAAGCATTTTGCGCATTTGTTTTCTCTTTGTTTTTGACCTCAGGCAATTACGTGCTTCGTAGCTGGAAAGCAAAGCAATATCCATTTCAGAGCTTAAGGGTATGAAAGAGGCGAGATCCACCTGCAGAACCCTCCTGGCACAGCCTCTCCTGGGACTTGTGTTTGTTTGCCAGTTAATAACTCAATTAGTTGTCCTGAAAGGTCATCAACAGCTTTACTACACAGCACGTTTGCTATTTTCCCAGGCTCTTGGTACAACAGCAGATGTGCTCATGGGTACTGCATAGTGGGTTTACAGCAGAACCAGGAAATTTTGAGATAAACAACCCTGGTTTTTTTTTTGGTTCACTGGTGTTTTTGTGCTCCCAGTAAATACAACCTTGGTCACAGAGTTCAGCTACTACTTACATCTTCTGAAGCAAGAATAAAGAGTACACAGGCTGTGCTGTAGCAGCAGTGTGTGAGGTGCAAGTGCTACAGAGGGGTAACAAGAAATGTGAGATGTGACCTAACAGGGATGATCTAAACCTCTGCTGCACCCATACCCACGTAACTGTGCTTGACTGTTATGGAAATATCTCACAGTCTGAACTTACTACTCAGTCCAGGAAATCCTTGATTATATTTAATCCTGAAACTATATGTGACCCAGCACTGGCTAAAGCTGGAAGTCTGATCATCAACAATTATTAAAAAAAAATTCTCACAAAATAATATTTGACACATAGTTGCATACTTTGTGGCTTTCAGTGATAACAATGCACATACAAAAATAAAGGCAAAAGCTAAAG